TACGCGGTTGAATTCTTATTATGACTACAATCAAATGGAGCTTTAAGATGATCAAAGCCATAGTAGACATGATCGGAGAAGAGAACGTTAAGGAATCCAGTTGCAGTCTTAATTACTAGAGGACATCCAAAAAATGAGAGGCTTGTTTGATCGATGTGCTTTTTCTTTTGTTAATAGACTAGGCAATAGTTGTGCACACAATCTAACAAAATTTGCTGTTAACTTGTTAGAGATGTAGATTGGAAAGGAAATTTTTCCATGTGGCTCAAAGAGAGCGCACAAAATGATCTGTTGGGTAGTAACCTTTTATAGCTGATTTTGTAATATCAAGTTATCAATGAAATATAAACTACTTTTGACACAACAAAAAAATGGAGCTTTAACAAAAGGGAAGGACTAAATTTAAAGCCTTTCATACCCAATTTTCATCTTATAAAACTTCACACACTCATAATGTATAATACGGATTTAGTTCCTTGCTTAACAGAATTGTAAGATCTTCAGTAATTAGAGAAGAATATTAGCGGGTCTAAGGATAAATTTACATTAAATCATCATTCTTATTTCATTGGTGCTATTACACCTAATTATGGATGTCAGTGCACAACTAAAAGGGCTCATAACAGGTAAAAAGAGACATATGAGATGCCCAAACAAAATGCATTTTAAGAATGACGGAAGTAGGTGTCCGAGAAAGGAGAAATGAGGTGTGGGCCGGAGATGCGAGTCGGGAGGAGGAGGTGGGATTGGGAGTTTTCCTCCCTGCCTTAAATGGGACGGGGGAAGGCACCCTCCATCCCCCACCTACAATCAATACATGTAAATGTATACATATAATATATATCTAGCTATATATACATTTACATTATAAAATGAGTAATATAAGAATTCATTCGGGTAAAATATATAATATGTTATTTCTTGTTCATCCTCTTTCTTGTTTATTTATCATTTTAAAAGGATGTATTTTTTTTTTATTACGTTAGACTGCTTAATTTTCTATTCCATGTATTGCATGTTGTTCATGAAAAAGCAACATCTATTGATTTAGACACCAAATAGTATCCATCATAGAAGAAATTAAAATGTTAAAATGATATTTAACCTTAATTTCATACTAAATTTTTTACAAAAAAATCAAAAGAATATTTAGAAAAATGGTTTTTAGTATTATAAATGTAAAGAATATAAAGTCAACCAAAAAAAATACTAGTGGCCGCTGGCAAGGTGCAGGGGTGGAGATAAACGAAGCAGGAGATGCTGCCGAAGCAAGTAAACAAGCTTTTGTAGCATAGGGCGGGGAACGGGGGATAAGGGAGCTCCCCTGTCCCAAACCCGTCCAGTTGTCTATCTCTGGTGCATTTTACTTGGAACATCATTCTATACATTGTCCAAGCTTCTCACTGCACAAACTACAAGGACTACTACAAGTTTTGGAAGCAAAATTAAGTGCTGTTAGAAGATGGACCATGTGATGAAGTGTAGAGCTTTTATAAGTTCCAACTGTCGGTTTAATTTCTGATGACTTTGGTTTCAACTGGGTTTTTGTCTGCTAAGGCTGCTCATGAGGGTCATGCAAGAAGCTAGTGTCGGGAAATGGCAATACTTTTGGTCCAAAATCTAAGTGTCAGTGTATGCGTGTTCAGCTTGTGATTCACGGCGAAAAGAGGAGCAATAGGACTAGTGCTGCAGTTGGGTTTGGACTACGGATCGACGAACAGTCTAAAAACACTATTATTAATTCCATTCAGCTTCAGTAATCTCAGAATCCCATCATTTTGTCTATGGTGGTTCGCTTCACATCCTCTGCTAAACTGACTGTATAATAATAACTTAGCACATCCATATTGATCATTGAGCCGTCCAATTATAATTTCTACTTCATTTTGTGGTAGTTGCTTTTATTGTCCAAGCTGACAGGCCATATCCATTCCTCAAGGGACAACTAAGTGAACCCTTTCCTCCTACCAAAAAAAAAAAAAAAAGGTGAACCTTTTCCACCTTTCTTTTTTTTTCTTTTTTTCTTTCAAGGGAATAAAATGAACTTTGAGAATACAATAATATCTAGAAGGTTTTGGATGGTAATAATCAATAGAAGGTCGAAAGCTCTGATGTTCAAAACTCTGGGGAGCAGGGGATTATTTCCTTGCGAATACAATTTTCTCACAGCATCCAAATGGTGAGACTAAATCTACCTCTTTACATAATAAATCATTATCAATCCATTCTGATTTTGATAAATGTTTCCTTTAATCGTCCTTTCTTGCATGTTAAAACATATCTTAAATTGAAATTCATATTGCTTTTAGTGTCTAGTTTCAAAAGATCTCGAGTTATGTTTCACGCGTACAACCCAAAAAAGTTGAGGAATGATTCACTAGTTTTAATGCTTAAACTGTGTGTCACTTCTCCATGCTCGCAAAGATGCCACTTCTCGGCCACATTGCTTTATGGTAATTGCAACGTACATCTTCCTGTTCTCATGTGAAGGAGTACATCTCTCTCTCTCTTTTTGATGAATATGTCAAATGCTAAACTATTTATTTACTAGCATTCCCCAAAGAGTGATAATGAGTTACCAAAAAACTGCATGCATTGATCCTATCTTGTAAACAAAGAAAGGCATTTTTTTAAGAAAAATTTTTGAATGATTTTGACTCCAATCACCGTTACAGTCAAAATATGCTTTTGAGATCATAAATCGCTTGCAGAAGTTATTACACGAAATGCACTTGCTACTTATGACAGCTAGCTCTGAATTAGAGCAATTGAGATGGAACCCGGCCCCGAGGGTTAAGCAATCATAACTTAACAGCTATAAAACATTCTGCAATATTTTCCTGTCGATCATCAGTTCTTACAAAACTTAACACGACAAAGTAGCTAAAAATTACCGGTGGTATCAAACTCAAACTGTCTGTTTGACTGCACTGTTGGATGAACAGGAAACGCTGCTCTGCCAATTAATTATGTGAACAAAACGGTCTCCTCTTTTGAATGCATGTAATCTAATTCCGTGAATGATTAGGGCCAACATTGACATCATCAGCTTACCAGTTTTGCCTGCTTGTTCATCCCAGATCAAGAAATTTGTGAACATCAGTCACTCCTTAGGAAACACTTCCGTGAACTATGCTACTGTATTAAGGGCCTCTTGGAGTTGGGGTCCATCTGAATGGTTCAATATTCCTTCCTTCTTACTTATTTTATGTTTTTTTTTTTTGGGGTTCAATACTTAAATAAATTAAAGAAGTAGGTACTAGGAAGAAGGGACTGGAATTTATTGGGTGATTGGGTATTAGGGACTGTAACGTTTGCTTTAGAGCTTTCACCGTTGCCTGGTAACAGATTGTAAACTGATTTGACTGTTGTAAATGATTGTTTATACTCTCTAATTACCCTGTTATTACAAAAAAAGAAAAATTTTTAAAAAAGGGAGCCAGTTGTCAACTTCAAGTATTCAAGAATATAACAAATCAGACAAAAGTTGGGGGATAACCAGCTTTATATTAGTATCTCTCAAGAAATGATTGGAAATTTCCATCGTCTGGATTTCCTTCCCATTGTGCATGATTTGTTGATGTTTACACTTACCGTGATAGGGCTATAACTAAAAATTGAAAAATTTTCTTTTTTAATCTTCAGTGCTTATTGTTTATTGCTTATTAGACCAAAAGTTTATGTGACTAACATATAAATGCATATAGAGTTCTTTTTTGCAACCATTGATAGTGGTTAGCTAGCTATTTTGATAAGGAGATGTGGGCATGTAATATTTTTATGAGGAAGCGATATTTGCAATTTTAAATGAGCCTCCCGCATTCTTTGAAAGTATAATAATATTTACTAAGTGAATTAGAGTGTAAGAGATTAATTAAAACGAGAATGCGAATATCAATTCCTTTTTCATGAAACTCTGCACGAAACGGTAAAGATGATCCTTTACAAAAGTTGGGTAATCAATTTCCTAATCAAACCAAAACAAGGTTGCTTCGGCTATTAGGCAAACCAGTACATTCACTAATCAATTTCCTTTCAAATTTCAAAAGAAAATCTCATGCTCCAGAATCCCATACAGAATTTCAAAAGAAAATCGCATGCTCCAGAATCCCATAAAGACTTGTGCTAGTAATTTTCATAGTAACATAAACGAGTAATATATCAACTTCAGACATTAAAACAAATGATAATAGACTTAGAAGCTACTTTCTGGTTTCCTATGCTAAAGTGTAGTACCAATTACAAAAGAAAAAGTTAAGCAAGACAAGGAACCAGTCAAATTCACAAACACGAGAACTCACGCCAAGAAACTTCATTGATGTTACAGATCAAGGTCACACAATTCATTTGCCGGTCATTGGATAAGCTTTTGTCTATCAGGTAACCAAAAAAAAAAAAGTGTCTATTTGTGTACGCAAATGCATTCGAAAATTTTGACACTTGGTTCATACATTACATTAATTAAAGTTTTCATGTCTTTGGAAGTTGCATACATTTCTGGAAAGGGACATCAAAGCCAGCAGTCATTAAGTCTTTTTCCGTAAGCAAAGATAGAAGAAATTCAGGCCATTAATTTGAGACTCAGCCGTCTATTACTCCTTTATAATACTACTGGTACAAGAAAGGACAGTTTTTAGATTCCGCATATTTTCTTCGATTCAATGCGTGCTTTTGCTTTTTGCTATTTGCTATTTGCTATTTGCTATTTGCTATTTGCTATTTGCATGCTGGCTCATTTAATTGTTGATATGACAGGCACCAAATTTTCCAAGAACTCTAATGAGTGTTGCTTTTGTGCCTTTCGACTTACAAAAAGGTTACAAGGAACTTCATTCAAGAGTTGGCTCTCCTCTCGCGTTGATAAATCATTTTTTTTTTTATATTTGCCAAGTTACTCTTTGATTTTTTTTTTTGCCCTTTTCAACAAATAATTAATTTCCAAGGTACGTCGTGAAGCATTTTATTTCTTGAAAAAAAAAATTCAATTCACAGGGGAAAGAAATGTGATGATTTGGATCCCTCCTATCCTATGTTATTTGTGCAGACTTTTCTTTATTCGCAAAGACCTTTCTCCTGTACTTGATCCCAGAAGGAGTGACCTCGGTGTCACACACGTCCAAGCCGTACCAAGCATCGCGCGGCAGATATCGACGAAAATAGAAATAATCGGAGCTCAGATGAGATGATGCTTCTAAAACCTGTACTTGGGCAAAACCAGGCCTCCAATCGTCGTTGCCGCTCAATTTCAGATAAAGATAGCAAATTGGTGATTCTACGCATGGCCCTCTAACTTGAAATTCATCCACCATGCAAGCTTGGAATGGCTTTCTGGGCACATCATCAAGCACTTGGGGCTCTAATGGATCAACCCATCTTACGTGTTTGGAATTCAAGTGACGCACTAAAATGTCATTGGATTTGACATCTCCAAATCGTAGGCTGACATGATCTGAAGTTTCTGCACCCTTGGTACAACTTGTTTCTATGGTCACTGCATACGTACAATTACTCTGCAAAATTTTCAAGACAAATTAATGTTGATCTCAAGATTTCTAGGCTCGATCAATAACCCTTTTTTTTTTCCAAACGACAAAAGATCAATAACCCATTTGAATTGCTAGTTTTAGATTTTTTTTTTTTTTTTGAAAAAATGTAATATATGCATATGAGATAAAAAAATAATTAAAAATATATTTACAAAAAATAATGTGAATAAAATTCAAGATGGGTATAGTCAAATTTGAGTGACTAAAATTAGGCGCAACGAATATGGAATTCATAGTACTACTCCTCAAATTAAACTTTGCTTAATTGTTTTGCAGATTCCAATAGCACCCTTATAGTGCATGCATGCTTACACACACACACACACACATATATATATATATAGCTATTGCCAGCTTGCTTTTATATAATCAAATGCAGTGGATGAGAATTTCATAAGAGGAGATTAACGGAATGTTAAGAATCAACGGATTCATTTGATTATGGCAGAACTCATGCATAGATTATCTTTAATTGCCAGAATTAGAAGACCTAATAAGTTTATAAAACTGTTGTACATCCCATCATCTCCCGGAAATTTTACTCCCGGGTATGGTACAGCTATAATCTCTGATGCATGGTACATGCCACTATGCAAATCACTGAATTCATCATAAATAAATCCATGGTGCAGGTCTGGGACAAAAGTTACCAAGTAATAGTATGGTAATTAATCAAAAGGAGTACCTTCTCTTTAGAGGTCTCGGCAGCAATTTCGCCGGTTAATATCATCAAAGTCTGTAGAACAAAAGCAAGCCATTGACATGCAAAGAACGATGCTCTCCAGACTCGATTCATTTTCAGTCGCTTGAGCTGATTCTAGAGACAACAAGCCTCTTTACTCGGAAGCATTTTGTCGCAGTACTTGTGTATTAGAGGTACATATCTATTGTCCCGAGAGTCGAGACTACTTCTCATTCTTTTCTTGCTAAATGGAAAAGAAAGGATCTCTCGAGCCTTTTCATATTCAATTAGTTTGCGATTTCTTTTTTTTTTCTTTCCAAACACCATCATGTTCTTTCTTGTACTTCACTCAAACCGACCTGCTTTATTAGGATTAATCCTGTCTTAGTCTACTTGAAGTTGAAGTATAATCTTTTGTCATTGTATTTTTTTAAGCTGCACAGCTGAACAATTTGTAAATAAATCTGGGGGCTGGAAGCACACTGCTTCCTTCTGTTTCTCTGTAGGACTTGGAACCTTCGTACTTCTCGAACAGAAAAATGTTACTTCAACCCATTATAAGCCCATATCATTCCAAAGAATCTTATGTATGACGCGTAAGAAATCATACTACTGTAAAATAACCAAAGGCCCATCGGTATCAGTCCAAAGACTCTCTATGCATGACGCGTAAGAAATCATACTGTAACATAACCAGGCAGGCTTATTCTCGGTTTATGTTTTCGATTGCTTTTGTATTCTCGTCATAAATTTTTTAATGATAAAGAAAGTTAGAATTTATAATCATCTGAATAGTAGTTTTTGCTGGTTTTGATTAATCTTTCTCAATAATCAATTTTCAAAATCAGAAAAGGCGTAAGTGCATATTGGCCTGCAGAGGCATCTCGAATGATTCCTTGATGCAATTCCGACAAGAAGGCCTAAGTGCATGTTGGCCTGCACAGGCATCTCGAATGACTCCTCCTCCCTGATACAATTCCGAGCAATGCAACAATTGTAACCAATCTGCAGTCCTTTTACTATTCAAGCTTGTAGTTTTACACACTATTTTAATCAGGTCTGGCCCATAACACATCTCACAGTGATCTCAGGGATCACCACTTGTGATCCTGAACCATGTCCCAGAAAGAATTCTAAGCTAATCGACAACATGGCGTTTTCACCTGCAGGGGAACGAGTCACGCCTTATACAACATTCCAATTTCCAATCAACAGATATCCTCGAAACGATACAGATGCATAATACCAGTTGTTCGGCAGCAAGGAAATGTCCCAAGACATATGCTCCAAAAATGAAACATAGGCCTGCATAAGACAGACAAATTGCGCGTTCACAAGAAAAAATCCACTCAAGATTGCTTTCTTCATAAGTAGCAGGAAAAGCTGATCTTGTTGCAAGCATGGATTTTTCAAAGCTCCTCGTCTCCTTTCTCCTTCTACAATTTCTCTTCGCCAATTACTCAACAGTCCATGCAGCTCCAAATTGTCCCTCGAAACTCTTCAGGGAATACATAGGAGCTGAGGGTCAGGACTTGACGTTTTCTGATGTACCCATTAATGCCAATGTCGAATTCCATTTCATTTTATCATTTGCCATTGACTACACAAATTCATCAATTCCACTTCCCACCAATGGTTACTTCAATGTCTATTGGGACAAGGAGAACCTCAGTCCTTATCGAGTATCTTGCATCAAGGCCGAACATCCTAATGTCAAGGTGGCAATGAGTCTGGCTGGAGATACTGTTGGCGGTGGTTTCAACGTCTCCTTCGATCCTGCATCCGTCGAGTCCTGGGTGAGAAATGCTATATATTCAGTCACTAATATAGTGAAAGAGTACAACCTAGATGGCATAGACATTGATTACGAACACTTCAAAGCAGATCCTGATACGTTTGCGGAGTGCATTGGGAGACTTTTATACTACCTTAAGCGAAACAGGATCGTAACGTTTACATCAATAGCACCGTTTGAAGACGAGGATGTCCAACCACATTACTTGGCACTCTGGAGAAAGTATGGACATCTCATAGACTATGTTAACTTTCAATTTTATGCCTATCAGAAAGGGACAAATGTATCTCAGTTTTTGCAGTATTTTGAAACTCAGAGAGGTAACTACGAAGGGGGCAAAATACTAGTAAGTTTTGGCACCGATGAGAGTGGGGGCCTGAAACCTCAAAATGGGTTCTTCAATGCCACCAGCATCCTCAAAAGCCAGGGCAAACTTGAAGGTATCTTTATCTGGTCTGCAGATGATTCAAAGAAGGACAACTTTTACTATGAGAAGCAGGCACAGGATCTTTTGGCCCTCTAAAAAGTCATCTCGCTGATATGTTTTCATTGAAAAATTTATGCAAAGAGATAGTGGTATTTTTGGATAAATCTAAATGAAATTGTTTCTTGGTCTTCCATTGCTTCTCTTTTTCAATGTCCAGGAATACGTCACAAAATTAATTGTATTGTGCCATTGCAAATGTAACATCACTTCTGTCTTTGAGTATATCTTCTAATGCACTTCTAGTGATTTGTTCTTCACCGGGTTTAGAATGGTTGGATTGATCTGCAAGTGGAGGTTGCACAATATATAAATACTGATGTACGTGGAGTTCCCTTATCTGCACCAGCTACCAAACCTTTAAGTGGTTTTCGTGGAAATCTATCAGGAAAACGTGTTGAGTATACAGGAAGAACTGTTATATCTCCTGACCCAAATTTGAAAATCACGGAGGTATGTTGTTTGAGTTAACTCATTTCTGACTTAAGATGATGGTTTACACCATGAGAATATCCTGTCTAGGTGATTAAGGTAAAAGTGATTTAGCCCTTCTTACAGCGTGAGAGCCACACCAGTTTGTGTCCCTTTTGATTGATTTCTTCTAACAGGCTTTCTTTTCCAGGTTGCGGTTCCTATATTGATGGCTCAGATTTTAACGTATCCTGAGCGAGTGTCCTATCATAATACAGAGAAGTTGAGGCAATGCGTGCGAAATGGGCCTAAAAAGTATCCTGGAGCAAAATACATCAGGCAGCCAGATGGTACCGAGATGCAAGGAGTGTGTATGTTGGGGCCTTTTTGTTTGTTGGCTAGGTCTTATGTTTCCTTATTTCACAAATGTTGTTGTCCATTATGCTGCAGATCATTGAAGTTTAGTTCTAGAAAGCGTCATGCTGATGAATTGAAATTTGGTTACATAGTTGATCGTCATCTAGAAGATGGAGATGTTATTCTCTTTAACAGACAACCGAGTCTGCATAGAATGTCCATCATGTGTCACAGGGTAATTACTGCAGTATAAATACTGAAGCATTAGAGTGTCCTTATTTAGTTTTTAATTTATTTGTCCTTTTTTATTGGCAGGCAAGAATAATGCCATGGCGAACATTGAGATTTAATGAGTCCGTCTGTAACCCATATAATGCTGATTTTGATGGTGATGAGATGAATATGCATGTGCCTCAAACAGAGGAGGCTCGCACAGAGGCGCTAATGTTGATGGGAGTAAGTAGTTATTCATGCCTTATTTATAGATTTAATTTAGCACCAGGTTTTAGAACATCTTTTCTCGCGATTGCTAGTAGAATTTCATCGCTGCATTTTCAGCTTTTTGTTTTGTTTGTGATTTTCTTCTCTTTGAAATGTTATTGACAATTCTGCAGGTGCAAAACAATTTATGCACTCCAAAAAATGGAGAGATTTTGGTTGCTTCCACACAGGACTTTTTGACATCTTCATTTCTCATTACAAGGAAGGACACATTTTATGATCGTGCTTCTTTTTCACTTATGTGTTCATACATGGGGGATGGGATGGATCAGATTGATTTGCCAACTCCTGCACTACTTAAGGTTAGTTAAACTGATGTAATTATATTCTCTAATTGCTACTTGATTGATAATGTCTTTTTTATTATTATTTTGACCTATATATTCACCTCTTATTCTTTTGGATGGAATAGCAGATCCTTTTACCTTTAAGTTTCTTAATACACCGTTTTTTTCTTTTACTAAGTCATATTTCATGAATTGCCTATAATGTGCATGAAGTTAATATTCTTAACTACTTTAGACCTTTTAGGTTGAAAAATGATCATGGCCTAATAGTAACCCTAAAGCGGTAGAGAATGTAGTTGATCTTCTTATATTCAGTTCCAAGTTGGAGGCCTAGTTTTTCCCTGTCAAGTGGGTACCATGCTAGTTCTTGTAGTTTCTTGTTCAAATTATAAGGTCAGCTAAAAGGATTAGTACTCCAATCATTTCTGCAAAACTGGAGCATGAGGACAATGCAAAGGAGGCTAGCCTTGCAAAAGCTCGTATAGAGAAAACACTTTTAGGGCAGGTCAGCTGTTTCTCACTACCTTCAACTTAGTGATCTACCAAGCGTGTAATAAGGGATGCATTGGTGTTTTATTTGTAATAGTGACAGCATTTTAATGTAGACATGGGGTGACACAGTCTTGACGAAATGGCCATATTTAAGGCTTTTAAATCATCTCTCCTAAAGAACCTATTCCAATCTTCTCTCTCTGTGTTTTTTTTTTTTGAAAAAAATGGCATATGGCTTTAATCTGCAGCTAAGATATCATGCTGTTCGTATCCAAAAGATTGTTTATTCTGCTTGTATCCAAAAGATTGTCTAAGATATGGCTTTATTCTGTTTGTATCATTCTGACTTTCTCTTTAACGTGTAGGTAGCCAAAAGTATAAAGATTGTCATGTCGGCGAGGTTAGCATCCATAGTAATTACACTTGATATGGAAATAATACAAGCATCTCGGCTTTGTACAGATGCTTATAGAGTGAAAGAATCGATTCTGCAGACACCAAGAATCAAACTGAAGGATCAGGTGTACTATCATTTTCTCATTTAGATCATCTACTTTCTCATATATTTGCTCAAAAAAAAAAATGTACGGTTTCTGCAGCATGTTAAGGTCTTGAATTCCAGAAAGCTGGAAGTAGTTCCCCAGACTGACAGAAGTAAACTTCACTTTGAGCTCCACACACTCAAGAACAAGCTTCCTTCAGTGGTTGTCACAGTAAGACAAGACATCTAGTTTTGAAAGTCATCATATAATGTAAGAAAGTGCAAGGGTATTTTTCTTGCACTATGGAATGTTGAAACTTGTGTCACTCTAAGTTTGTCCATTATCTTTGGAAATGACAGGGAATCACCACTATTGAACGTGTCGTAATTAATAGTGAAGAGAAGAAGGATTCTGGAGGAGGTCCCAAGTACCTCTTGTTTGCAGAAGGGTAAGTTCTGTTATGGTGATCTTTTGCAGAAAGTTTTGGTATTGAAGTAAATGATGGTCCTCTTGTTTATCAAATATGTCATCCTTCTGTGCCTTTCTGGTTGAAATAAATATTTTCTTCTAGTTATAATATTGTTGTGTAGTAATATGCGTAGCTTTTCAATTGTATTACTATAAGCAGAGAATTTGTACGGGTACTTTCAAATGACAAAGCAGAAGAAGCAACTTCATTTATCCTATCAGATATCAATGACAATGGTGTAATTAATTACTTCAATTGATGGTCTTTGTGGTGATTGGTTTCTACTTGACATGGAAAATTGTCAAACTACTATTGATGGATATGATATTCAAAATTTTCAAGCTGTATTCACAAGTTATGCATATCTGCTTCTTGCAGGACAGGTCTCCTAGGTGTAATGGGCACTGAAGGAGTAAATGGCTATGAAACCAAAAGCAATCACATCATGGAAGTGCAGCAGACGCTTGGAATTGAAGCTGCAAGAAGTTCGATAATTGATGAAATTAAGCATACCATGTCTAGTCATGGAATGACTATAGACATACGTCATATGATGCTTCTGGCAGATCTGATGACATTTAAGGTAGTTCCTTCTTCATAAGTCTATAGTGATCGTTTCAGACTTGCATCATGGACATATTCATGTTCCAACACTAAGTGTGGCATTTACCATCAGATGCTAATTTTATGTACTATCGCATTGATGCCAGGGCGAAGTTCTTGGTATTACAAGACATGGTGTTCAGAAAATGAAAGATAGTGTGCTAATGCTGGCTTCTTTTGAGAAGACAGCAGATCACCTTTTCAATGCTTCTGTAAATGGACGGGATGATAAGATTGAAGGAGTAAGTGAATGCATCATTATGGGAATACCAATGCAGTTAGGCACTGGGATGCTTAAAGTGAGGCAAAGGTACATGCTTGGCAATTGGCTGTCATTTGAATTGATTTTTTTTTTTTTTGGGTTTAATAAGTTTGTCTTTAACCCTTAATGCATGTGGCTTATCTTCTGGGTGGTAGAAAATCATAAAGATGAATGCCACAGATATTCAGCTATGGTCTGCTGAGTTTTTATGATATTTGACTGAGCTTGTTAAACTTAGAGAACTTAACAGTTACTGTTATGATGGTAATGAATTTGAGGGGGAGAATAGTATCTGCCAGGGAAGTGTTTAGGTGGTATAATGATGAAAAATGTTGACTTTTGAGTAAGAATCTAGGTTGACTTTATACTAAATACTTTAATTGTAGTCAATGGCGGTACTAAGCTACAACATGACAACAATGAGGAGTGCAAAAGGAAAGAGCAAAACAAGTTTGTAACTTGGAAATAGAGTGCATGTTGTTCGCTTATTGATTCAAATACAAGCTTGATTCGTACATCCTTGATTTTTGCTATTACTATCGAATTTGAGTTCAATGCAAATTATTACATGAGCACCTCAAGCCTGAGCTAAGAAAATTTTATCCAATTAAGGTTTCTTTTAAAGCTCTATGCAAGCAGCTTGGTTCGTTTGGAACCCTGACTCTTACTATCTGGTGTTGTTAAGTATGTGTTTCTCTTTTGACTTGATGGTACTTCTTTCTCACCTTCTAACTTATTTATGTAGTTTCATTGTTGCTGATAGTTTCCGAACCTCTATGAAAGGAAACTTTGTGCCACGTGATATTCTGAATTGAGCCTTGTGTATTCTCTACCAGCCTCAGACATGTGTCTCTTTTTGTTCCCCTTTTCTTAAATTTCTTTAATTTTACATTGCTTGCAGAGTGCAGCAGGTGGAGCTGAATTATGGGTTGGACCCAATCCTGTCCTAAACTTGTTTTCGTGGTGAGACCAGTATGTTGTGCTACAAATGTGCAAAAATGATCGTAATTTCTCAAGACGACGACAATGTTGAAGGAACTGGACAGAAAATTTTCTGAGCGAGCATTAACCTTGCGGATTGCTGTGCATGTTCTTTGGCCCATTTTTCTCCTCTTAAACAGAAAAGATTGAGGATTATAGAATAGTAGACTATTCGGTAGACCTGTCCATTCCCATAGCATAGTGAGGTTTGCCCCGAAAGGGCAGAAATGACAATTGTGCCAACAATGTACAAACTGTTGTATATATTGTAAATACCAAATCACCCGTTGTAAACCATAGGCAAAACTTGAGTAGACCTGGTCTTACAAAGTTCAATGTCTTATGTTGTGTTGCACCATTTGGTAAGATGATGTGAAACAATTTAGGTCATTGGATTTTTTAAAATCATAAATCGTAAGGATACAAGCGTGCATTCTGATCATAAAGTACAGTAGCTATAACCAGAAGGAAAATGGCCAACATGGTCCCTCGCGGTTCAACAAGATCCCTTGTTGGGTCCGTTACAAAAAAAGGAACATAAGATAGTCCACGCATAACAATTGTATCAATTTAGTCCTTGAACTTACTTCTGGCAAAATTTTAGCCAAATAAGACGTAGAGTATTATTTTCTTCAAAATAGCCCTTTTACCTCCCTCCTTCCCATAGGAGTGGTTTTTTTTTTTTGTTTTAAAGTGTGTTATTCATTTTCCTATTTTGTCTATGAAAGTATGAGCACATGATGTGAGCGTGCATTTTTGGCCAGAAGTTTGATAAGAAATAGGTTTTAGAACCAAATTGACATATTCATTATATGTGAGGGACCAATTTGATCATTCTCCATGACTAGAAGGATTAAACGTTTGGTGCACTGGTCTCTGTCGAAAATCCTTAGTTGCAAGTACTGTGTCTTAAACGGGTAAAAGGTTCTTCTTTTGTTTCGAAGGATTCCAACCTCTTCTAATGTGTCAAAAATGACAAGTCGAATGAAGTTCAAAGTTTGTTTTCGGCAAGAAAAGATGAAACAAAATAAAGACTCGTCTTTTGTCTGGTAGAGGAGAGTGGTGCCAAAAAATGTGCTTTGAGGAAGAATGAAGTTGTTTCCGAAGAACAATTAGTAGTAGATATACAGAGGAATTGGAAACCGCCGTCTGATCGGAGCGCTGAAATGGTTTATCCTGGATTCTGTACAATGCTTTGCACACTGTACTTCTGCTTCTAGTTGGAGCACCAGTAAAATTCTTATTGCCACACCAGGATGTTCGGGAAGTATATTACTCATCCTTCGATCCCAATCGACCAGTTCTCAATTTCCATATGGTTTGTGAGAGACTGAAAACAGATAAAAGGACCTAATCTCACTGTAAACGCATATTTTCTCGAATAGAAAGTGACAAACCCCAACCGTTTAGGAAAACGCAAATTTCTGTCCATTGTGCTAAGAATCTTGGGGCTTCTGATAGAGACGTCTCTGTGGTTTCTAAGGACAATTATTAGACTGAATGTAGAACAGTACCCCTCTCATCTACACCCAGAGGAAAAAGATAACCGTACAAATAACAAAAATGAAAAGGATAACAATTTTACTAGGAAGAAAAATGAAAAGAAACTGTGAGAGAGCTCAAATGAAAAGATTGAGCATCAATTCAATTATTTCATCTTCCATTTAAAAATTCTAGTTGCTTGCATGAGTTTCGAGTTCATAGCATTTCCTATTACGCTCTCAAGGGATGGTACAAAAGGATCTTTTTACAAGAGGAAAGTTCCTGAAGAAGTAAGGATTCACAGTGAGGAAGGGTATAGCAAGTAGTATGCAGAAAAGCTAATTAATTACATCATGTACTACAACGAGAACATACGGTTACCATCAGTTGGAATTATCATAAACGGTTAATTGTAACTGGGATTCGACAACATATTGCTTTATGAAAGACCTCCTCCACCAGACTTCAAATGCCCTTTGAAGATTGGGACAATCATCCCCTTTGTTAAGAAATCTGTCAAACCAATTGAGCAAGATGGCTTCTTGTTGTGGCAACGGTAGAGTTAAAATCGTCTGGCTCAGTCCATCCTCAACCAGTTTCTTGTCCACTGATCTAGAAGCTCTCCTCATCCACCCAAAGTCTTCATAAAGAGCTTCCAGCCATGTAGACAGTAGAGAATATCGAGTATCTTTAGGCACCAGAATATGCCCTCTCCCAATTGCAACACAAAGCTGTGCAGTTATACGGCTGATCTCATGCCGGTACATCGTAGGAATTTTAGAGTGGAGCACAGCAAGTTCCTTCTGTTCAGCCCATAATTTCACAAATTCATCTCCCAATTTTCTGTCAACCAATATATCAACAACCCACTGCATGTTGTCAGCTTCTCGGGCTATCTCGCTCATCAAAAATCCTCGATCCTGCCTGCCTTCCTCCACACAAGTAGCTTCTGATAAGCAAAGTATGAGAGAACTAAGACATCTGTGGCAAAGATGATACAGTGTATCTCTGGAGATATCAAGGCTATTGTTGAGACTGCGATGATCAGAAGATTCTTCTTTAAGCAAACGAGATACCAATGTTTTCATTTCTCGACGAGCTTTGTCATCCTTGGCCTGCAAAACTCCACTCAATAGCTTGAGGAAAATGTCATCAGCTCGAGAAGATGTTGATGGTTCTGCCACCACTCTCTGAAGCACGTTAGGTAGTGATCTGTGAAGCTGAAGGTCACCAAGAAGCAAGACCACTTTTTCCTCTTCATCCTCTGACCAAGGCACCGCTTCCAAGTAATCCAAACATGCCAGGATCCCATCATCAAATGATATAGCTGAACATACCTGCAATAAGACACCGCGTTAAGAAACAACTTGCGAATTGACAAAAGAACTGAGAAGCTTGGGAGTAAGTTTGTGTCCGAAGATTTATAGTCATGATGTTGGATGTGGTCGCATTACTGCACACCCCAGAATGGAAAACCTGCATGTGAAAAATTAACATTTCATATTGAGATAACTAGCATGCAGATTTTTGATGAATATGGTTGTTAAACATCATAATGAGCAATGTGATGCAGTGATTTTCCACTAAGAACCCCGTTGCCCAAATTAAACTTGCCAAGAACAAAAGATTCAGCAAGAAGCTATACATCATCAAGTGCGCTAAAATGATTCACAAAAAGCTATGCTTTCAGGATTCAAGCGTTTAGCCCAACTGGCCCTAACTCACAATCTTATAAGGTTACAGAAAAAATTTTACTTCTCAGCTCTGCAAACAATCATTCAAACTTTGTAATTCTCTTACTTTCCTTTGACTTCTTTCGCATTCCCGCATCCTTTACGAGAAAGTTCCCTTAAAATCCACCAAGAAATACATACTAGAAACCAAGATTACAGGAACCCAAATAAAAGTTCCATACTCGGGAAAAAAAAAGGTTAATAATAATAAGAAACTAAGAAATAATAGAAAAGAACAAACCTTTAATAATTCCAAGACCTTGGAAACCTCCTCACCCATCAATTTCTTCTTCAAGTCCTCACAATACATAAGCACCACCACCTCCACGTACACCTCCACGTCATCACATTCAAGAATCTCCACCGTGACCATGTGGGCCCCATTCCTCCTCAGCTTCTCAGCAAAGAACCTACTCCGGTCGGCAAGAACCCGCCGGTGGACCTCCATTGAGACCCGGAATCCATCACGTGCACTCACTGTCAGTCTGACGTCACCACACCCCAAATTATTATCATTAGTACGATCATTGCCGGAATTCTTAAATGGGGCCTCAGCTAAGACCTTAAAGACTCTATCTTGGAGCTTGAGGCCGGCTTCAGTGGAGTGTCTGGAGTCGCGGGCCTGTTCGTCCGACATCATTTCGAAAAGGGTCGGGCTCGAAATTGACCGGGTAGGGTTGGGAGCAGCTGTGGCGAAGGAAGGCGGCGGGGAAAGAGAAATGGCGGTGGCGGTGGTGGCGGAGTGGGGTCTGGAGAGGTGGTGAGAGGAGGGGGGTGAGGGTGCAGGGGAGAGTAAAGGGTCCGAGATGAAACCTTGTTTTATCATTGCAGAGACCAAATGGTTTTTCTTGGATGGTTTGGTGGGAGTATTGGTGGCGGCGGTGGTGGTGGCGGCGTGGGATGGCATTGGCAGAGTAGTGACTGCGTGAAGAGTTTGTGTGTTTAAGTGTGTGAGAGAGAAAGTGGGACTACGGGGCAATGGGAATCCAAGAAAAACCACAAGAAGTTAAAAGGGAGTGGGAGAGCTTTGGATCTGCAGTAGCAGAGAGCAGTAATCGATTAGAGTGATGAGAAACGGAGTTAACTCTAATTTAATACTTAGTGGTTGGACGGGAAAGTGGAAACTATATTAACGGCTTATTAAAGAAATGGCGGGAGTATTTCTTAGGACACTTACACTGCTGTTAGTATTATTTTGTTTTACTATTTTTATTCATTTTTTGCCAGCTGCCCATGCCCCGAGTGATCCATTTAAAGACTTACAGGTAACTGCAGCAGGAGGTTTTTTTTTTTTTTTTCTTTTTTTCAAGAACTGCAATTAATGTTAAATCAGATCGAATGATCGAATTGAGAATCAGCTTTTTTTTTTAGAGATAATTGCAGAAACCTCCCCTGAGGTTTCTGATGCTTGTACTTACCTCCCTATAATTTTCGTAATAGCACTGATCTCTCCTAATAAAAAATTGGGGCCAATTGTTGAGGTAAGAGTGTGTGAATTTACTTGGCTACCCCAATTATTTTCATGTAACCAGATGAAAGGTTTAATTATTTTCATCAAAACCAACAAATCCTTTGTTAAACTAATTAAACAAATAACTTGTTGGAGTTCTTTTCAGTCTCAGAGATCTTCAATGTTGCATTTCGATTGCAAGGTGCAATATTTGATCTTTATTATGAAGGATGTTGGGGAGTCCCATGATGCTCTCTTGTGGCGGGAAGAAGCCATACTCTTTATTGCAATATTTCACCTCAAGCTGCCAAACTGTGTTGGAAACAAACAACTCATTTTTTTGCTAGTATAGAGTTTCATGTGTCAAGACCATCCTTTATAAAGCTAGTGCAAGAAATTGCACATGTAACCGTTAACTAGCCATTGGTTTCATTAAGTGAAGAAACTGTTGTAGGTGGCTTGAAAATGGTTTGCACTTACATCCCCTGAACTTTTTTTATCCTTAATACCTTTGTTTTCCTTGCTAATACTATTTGCCAAGCAAGATCAAAGACAAATTCGGTACAAAATTCTCAACCCACTCTTTAAAATAATTTTTTAATAGGACATTTTCCTACATGGACTGAATCTGTAACATATTCATTAAGTTCAAAGGTGTTCAATACTATTTCTTAAACCAAAGGAAAAGTGAATGCTAGTGTCGGAAACCTAAGGGGAGGTTTCTGCAATTTTCCCGCAATTTCCCTTTTTTATTATTTGGATGACAGATAAGTAGATAATCCTAGAATTCAGAAGATGGGATTTGTGAGGCACCGCCGCGGGGGATGGGAATCCATCACCATACATGTATCTTTAACTATAAAAGAAAATGGAATAACATTCCACATAAAGGAGTATTACTAATTCTTACAAATGAAGGCTCTTATTTCGTCATGGATTTAGACAAAGGAATCTGATTCTGATTGCTTAGTTTTCTTTTCTTTCCTTTTGCTTTTCAAAAAAAAAAAACCTAAAAATAAAAAAGAAGATAGTTGGATTGAATTTGTCCTTTGCTGGTCAATGTTAATGGAATGAAGTGAAAATTCCTCTACTAAAATACATCAGCCTTCGTACGGTGAAGAAGCATTCTATAATTATATGAAGAGGTTCGAGTGGCAAGCTATTGATTGGTCTGGAGAGACAATAGGTTATAATTTTGAGGATAATATTAGAAATCTCTCCTGAGTTTTCTGTTAATATGACTTGACAACTATAATGTTTTAAAAATATTACATACCTCCTATAATTTTGTTATTTGGGTAACAAAATTTCTAAAAATCTCAAACTACCCTCATGCTCTTTTTGCTAAATAATAATACTCGTAAGTCAAATTGTTCACTTAATCTTCTAAAAAAAAAAAAATCTCTAGTAGTACCACCACATCACAAAGTTATAGTACATAAAAATATAAAATTGAAAAATGGAAAAGATATTTGCAAAGATATATACAACAACCAATTCAACTCTATATGGTTAGACTTGATTTCTTATTAATCTTATTTTTTTTTCCAACATCTTCTCAACCCGTGACATAAACCTTTAGGTTGAACTAAATCATTATAAAAATCAATTGAAAATTAGCAAAGAAATCATACCTCACTCTATTGGAATCACAAAAAGAAAATGACAAACAAATTTAAATTTACTATAAGTTACAAATAAAAATAGTATAATCATCCAAATAAAAGAGTAAAAGACAAAAAAGAGAAGAAAGTGATTTTTATTTTCTTTTTCTTTAATTTTTGGAGCTCCATTTATATGACATATGAAACATGTATCAAACGAAAAGTTAATATAGTTATTTTACAATTACTAGAAAAGATAAGTGATTATTTTTAAAACCTTGGAGGTGTTAAGTGATATTAGAAAAAATCTCAAGGGAGGTTTGTGATATTATCCCTATCCGAGGCGCAGTGGCATTCAGGTATTTGATTGGATTGTCGGAGTATTGGTGTGAGCGCACCAGCAAACATGAAGCATCTTTATCTCCGACATTGATGGCTGCTCCCACCCTTGTCCTGCTTGTTACCATGAGGGTCACTATCCACAAGTCAGGAATCTCAAAGGTCATTTTTTTGTAACACAATTTGCTTTGGGAGTCCTAACGCCTTAGTCCAACGCGTGGTGCCTGTGTGCCGTGAGTGCACGTAAAAGGGAGCCTTATGACAGACCCACTCAACAGTTAATAGTAGCCCTAGTGCTCAGCTTTCCATCTTCAAAGGCTACAGATAATACAGGTGCTGCTAAACAAATGGCAGTGGAAATTTTGTATCTTTGCAATTGTTGGCGTACATTAAATTAAGCCTCGGAAATAAAAATTTTCATATTATTATTTAGCAATGTTTAAATCAACTTACTGTTTTAGTAATTCTATTTGAATTCAATTATGATAGTTTTATTATTTAATAATCAATATTTTATCAGAAAATTTCTTACGATTGTAATACTTACTGACCGACCGAGTCATTTTATCTAGTCATTCAATCTAGTATTCTTGATATTATATTGTTGAATTATTCCTCTTTTCCATGTACGCATTGTACACATTATAACGCGGCATTACGAAATTTGTCTCTCACAACTTTTTAGTGATTTTTTTTTTGGTCCTACAATGTTTGACACTCTTTATCTTCCTTAGGTCTACTGGGATAGTTTAATGGAGAGAGAATGAGTTCTTGGAGTCTTGTCAATCCTTAAATGTGACAAGGAAAGTTCTTGTATCAATTGTGCTCTCCTCTTACTTGCATCATCTTCTAAGTTCTAAAACTTGATCCATTACCCTTCTTTTCCGCTTGTTTTATTTTCTCTTTTCGGTGTTTTCACAAGTTTACAAACTCAATTATAAGGGCCTGCTATTGTAGAATACCACAGATTTGCATTGAACAGCAACTTTGACAGATTCATATCATGGTGGAAAATTTTTGTAATGCTGTCATTTCATCCAAATTCACCATGGCCCAACCCGACTGTGTTTGGCCACTGCAATCATTTCGGGAATATTAACATAGACTGCTTTCTGATCTGTTGTGAGGATGCCTTTTGGGGTTGGAATGCCCTGCATCTGCATGCTATAATAATAGCAAGCACCAACTTCTTTCCTTGAAAGTAGCTGAAACAGTTTAGCAGTACTTTTTGTTGCCCGCTCTTTGGATGTTTTTGTCATGTTAGCCATCTATCATTATTTCACTAGATGTGACTGGATCGATTTAGTAAATTCGCTATTTGAGCTATCATTCAGCTGCAGATTCGTCTGCTGCTTTCTCCATCAGGATATACGCTCGGATACTATCAACATAGACTTGTATGTACATCAATGTAGCCCATAGTTGGCTTAATAAACCGTTTTATTGCAAAACTTCCACAAAATGCATAGACAATCAGAAGGAAAAAACTGCATTACAGAAAAAGAAAAGAATGAACAACAAGGACATATGGTTTCCTTTACAAACATGACAACGATCAGCTGCAAGTTGGATAGTGAAACAAAGTAGCTGAATTCAACTCCTCAACGTTGGATCTGAACCTTCCCGTCTCATTACATGCCCTGACTGAAGTATGCATAAAACCATTAGTAAACAGATGGTTATTGTTATTCCATCACAGGCGGAGGAGGCTGTAGAAGTGTTACCGAGGAAAAGCAAAGACATGCTATTTAGAAAACATTTGTTTGTAAATCTTCTAGTCCGGCGTCAACTTTAAAACCTTGTTCAGCTTCAGTTGTTCCGAATAGTGGAGCATCCAGCTCGGGAGGTTTCTGAAGATGGAAACATAATCAGTCACTGATTTAAACTAGTATCCTAAAAAATGAAGAGCACGACTGCAGAAGACTAATAGATTTTTTTTTTTCTTCTTTCTTTTCTGACAGAGTAACATGCATCGCAATCATTCCTGGTGCCCCCACTAGGAAACTCGAATGCTTCAAATTATAAAGAATATGATGTCATTTGGGTGATTACATGATTTTACTTTTGCTTGTGATTGAGAAAATTTTGTTGCCTTTTTATTATAAAAGTTCATTCCGCAAGCTTAATATCTGTGTAGAATCACAGTAAGATTATTTCGCATTCGACTGATCAAGTCAGTCTATGTTATTACCATGCAACGTACTAAAGCCCAATTGATACCCCGGAAGAATGGATGCTTCTTGATTTCATGTGCTCCTTCTTGTGAGCCCAACCGGCTTTTGGGATCTCTGTGCAACAACCGATACATTAACTGCTTTGCTTGGAGACTTGCCTGCATCAGAGAAAATTTCTTCAAAGTTTATACCATTGCACTAATGAATTGACAATGCCAGTTTGCCACAGAGTATGCAGATTGATACATGCATGAAATTATTGATGTTACACTGGGAGACTTCGTCTGGACTCCAAATTGGTTGTTATTTGGCATGTTTAAGAGCCACGGGCTTGAGTTTATAGATTGCAGGTATACAAGGCATTCGGCTCTAGAAGTGTAACTAAATGAGATTAGTATCTTACACACATGGCACTTAAATCTAACAATGTTGCATTAGCTAACTCACCGGTATGCTCGCAGGAAACTTTAGATCCTTGTGCAAGACATTTGCAAATGTCTTTTGCCTGGTCTTTCCCCTAAAAGGTGTGTACCCATAAAGCATTTCATACAA